TAACATCCTTCATCAACCGGTAGAACCTCTATACCATATCATCTCCCCCTGACCATTGATGAAATAGGTAATGGATATAGTTGGAAAATTACCAAAGGCTCCTGGTAGAAAGGTCTTCATGCTAGTAATGATGGACTATTTCTCAAAGTGGATAGAGACTGAAGCATTTGTTTAGGTAAGAGACAAAGAGGTAGTCTCATTCATTAAACGTAATATCTTGACCAGGTTCGGGATCCCAACTGAAATCATATGTGATAATGGGTCCCAATTCATAAGCAAAAAGACTAGAGACTTTTGCACCAGTAGGGGAATTAAAATGATAACATCCACTCCTGTTCATCCTCAAGCCAATAGTCAAGCAGAATCTAGCAACAAAATCATAGTCAACAATCTAAAGAAAAGGCTAGATGAAATGCAAGGCATATGGGCTGAGGAACTTCCTTTCGTTCTGTGGCCGGACAGGACTACATCAAAAACATCTACGAGTCAAACTCCCAATTCTTTGGTATTTGGAACATAAGTTGTGATCCCAACTGAAGTGATGATCCCTACAACAAGATACCAACGTCAAGAATAAGATCCTACAACAAGATACCACTCCTGTCCATCCTGGAATGCCATACACTTGAAAGCATATTTCATGTAAGGTAAAATCTTTCGTTTTCCAACAAGATCTAAGCTACACAGTCTTTACCCTTAACTTTTGTTTGATTTTTTTTAAAAAAACATTACTGGCTTAAGCAACAGAGGGGCGTTAACCAGGCTAATTCCCACCCTAAGTTAACGTTTGCAGTTCGCAAAAATCTAAGGATCCTGGCCACTACGAATAGATACCGATCATCTCTCCTCCAACTAAGGGTACTTAATCCCCTCTAAGGTTTAAAGAGTTAATAACCTATTTCTTACGGGTTTAGGTTTCTACACCTCGCTTGGACGAACGATATCTTACTATGTGATGTGAGTAAGGGGATCATTTCACGCTTAATGACTTGGAAACCCTCTTATTTCTGAACATATGTTAAGATCCTAACGCTTAATCAAAGGTTTATAACATTGACATGTTATCTTAAGTTGGGATCTTCCCCAATTATTTTCTAAGTTGGGATCTTCCCCAGTTAATTTCTAAGTTGGGATCTTCCCCTGTTATTTTCTAAAGCTGGGATCTCCCGCAGTTATTTTCTAAGTTGAGATTTTCTCTAATATTTCATAAAATTGGGTTTTTCCCCAGTGAAAGCTAAGTAAGGACCTTCTTCAACAAGTTAGATTATCCAAAGAAGGATCCTCTCCATACAGGAACACAGAAAACTAAAATACTTACAACATGGAACTTCTCTAAAAGATAGAAGTCTAAAGGAAAATTCTAAAGGCCGAGACTAAACCTAAGAATCATCAGATTCTATCTACCTTGTTTCTTAAAACTATCTTTCTATATTCTAACTAAAGGTTTATCTTTCTAAGGATGGCTGGCCGTTTCAGGTTATTAAGATCCCAAGATCTCTTGTAAAACCTGAACTCTTTAGGATCCTAATCGTTCAAGGATCCTCATAAAACCTACTACTACAACCACAACAACCATGCAAGAAGATATAAACATCCATAGCTTGAAATAAAAAGGGTTGCCCATCAATCCTACCAAAAAAGAAAATGTTAATTGTCTTTCATCCAAAATACTAAAATTATTTATTGCTAATCAAACCTAAACCATAGTTTGATCATCACCACCAGGGCCCTTCTCTGTTTCTTCCTCTTCTCCTCCCACCTTCAGCTGTTTTGCAGGATTTTGACTGGTGTTAACAGGCTCACCGGTTAATTTAGCTAGGGCTTCACGCTAGCCAGCTACATTCCAGGATCCCGCGTGGCCACGTCTTATGCAAGTTTGATCTTAGCTTCCCAAACAACCACAACAATGCTACCCCTCACCTCAGCTATCACCTCTGCAATCTTAGCAACATGCTCCTCTTCCTTCTCAACCTTCTCTTTACTTAGTAGCTCCGCTATCATTAGGAGATCTTTATTGGTGGATTTTCACACTTTCTCCTGCTCCTTTAAGGCTAGCTCAACCTTCTCAGCTCTGTCCTTTAAGTCAACAGTGGATCGAGAAACGTGGTCAGAAACCTAAATTAAGAATGACATTAGTAGATATAAAGCCAGAAAAACAAGAATCAAAGTTCATGAAATACTTACTGCTTGAGAAAAAGAGACCAGCTTCATGAGTGCTTCCTCAGAGCCGAGGTTCTACAGACTCAAATATACAGCCTCATCGGTTTTCCTCTTTCGGGAACCTGAGGTCTTCACTGTGAGATCGATATGAGCCCTTTTTGGAGGAAGAGAAGAGACAACTTTTTCCTTTTGTATCATGATCAAACCACTAGACATGTCATCTTCCAGATCAGAGAGGCCAAATCGAGCACTAGAGCGGGTAGCTTTGGATCCTGTATTAGGGATCCCCGTCAGTTTAGGATCCCGAATATAAGGAAAACAATAAGAAGAAAGTAGGATTCTTACCGGTGGCCATTGAAGCAGTGGTAGAAGAGCCCTCTTGGAGGCTGGAGTACTCGAGCTTGAAAGACCTATTGACTGCAGATAAAGCGAGGAAGTTTGCAACTTTGTCTTCAATATCCTCAGCAGCAGTAGCAATCTCTTCAAATTTGAACCCTACATCACAATAAACAAAATAAGAAAGTGAATCCTTGGAGCCTTGCAACTAAAGAGTAAATCGTACACTTTTTGACCCAGGTCTTTGGCAGGAGATCCTCGTCGGGAATAGTGTCGCACCTCACAAAAAGTACTTCTCTTTCCATGCTCCGTCATTGTGTTTTGATTTCAGAATGAGTGGAGATTTGTTGGGTTTGAGCTTTAGCAAGAAACGGGAATTCCCGAAGGTGGAGAGATTGTAAACACGAGCTAGTTCAGCAACGCCTATGCCTAGATCATTGGATTGGTTCAACTGATTGATCTGGAATAGGATCCTCCATATGACAGGCATAACTTGGATATATGAGATGTTTGTGATTTCGAAAAACTTAGAAATAATTCCAGGAAAAGGGTACTTTAAACCCAAATAAAAAGGGTAATCAAGAAAACAAATCCAAGAGGAAGAGATGAAATCTGGCTGAATCGAAGCATCAAAAGACCTAAAAATCGTGTTTACGGAAAAAGCCTCACTGCATTTCAGGAACCCAATATCCTCTTCATCAAACGAACAAGTCTCACTATAAGTGAGGAGCTTTTGATCGATAAAGTCATCGTTAGAAAGGGCAACGCTGCTAGCTCGAGAGTGAATCATCTTCTTACCCATGCTTAATAAATTGCAAAAACTAAGGAGGATGAGAAACAAGGATTCCTTTGGGATAGCTGAAGATGATCAGGTAACAGGTGAAAGAATTTCTCACTTTTTGCTCCTATTTATATGGGAAACAGGAAAGAGAAGATTGATTTCACCGTGCCATCATGAGGGTTAAACAGATAAAATTCTATCCGTTAGGGTTTGAAATTTAAAAAATCTTATCTCCGTTTAATTTAAATTATACCTTTAAATATTTAGAAATTAACTTAATATTTCGCAGGTATAATTTGGGGACAATTGTTAGGGCCGAGATCCTCAACCCTATTTAGGATCCCAGATTTTCAAAAACTTTCAGGATCCCGAATATACCTCAAGATCCTGACCATTATTATTATTATTTCCTAATATTTATAACGGATATATTCCTAGTCTTTTTCTCACATGTGCAAAATTAGTCAACATAAGACTCATTCTCAACGAAGAAACACTTCAATCAGGTAAAAGACTCGTGAATACCAAATCAAACCAACGTATTCATTTTTATTCGAGAGGATCCCGAAAATATCGGACTTATTGTTACTTAGACTAGATTATAAATACACATGTATTTCGCACACTACACACACCTAGACTCACTGCGATACTTGTACTCGTTTACATACTTTCATTTATGTAAACAATCATTCAATCAATACAATTAAACAAGACAGATGATCATTATCATTTCCCAAGGTTTTGTGTGAGAAATCTTAGCAATGATCAATGACTTTCCTTGTAAACCACTTGTACAATCTTGTTCTAATTTCGATAATTACTTTTATTACTTTACAAATAAGATCACAACTTTCATATAATTTGGTTTCCTTGTATACACATGACATATTGTTAAAGCAATGGTAGGCCCATTTTATGTAGTCCATTCATTCCTTTGGATTCTTGTATTTATACGAGATTAATGAGTTTATATCATTAATGGAAAAAAAATACATTCTAATAGCTTGTTGCATGCATAATACGTTTTTATTAATAATGTAAAACCAATATTTCAACCAATTCAAGCTCGCATCCAAATAACTCGAGATGACTTGGTGTATATACAATATAGTAAACTCGAATCATTTTTCGTTGAAAAATAAAACTTCTAGTTAAAGACTAGCCACAGGCTGGACAAAAACTACAACGCGGTTCACAAAGGGGAAAAAGCCAAATAATTAGGAGAGCATAAACAAACTAACGTACGAGTTCGACATAGCACCACTCTCACAAATAGGACAGTGAATCGACAATGCAAATCAATAGATGGACTGAACTAATATTTAATATGTTTGCAAACAAATGTTATAAAGTAACCATATGTATATACATGTTTTAAATCTTCTAAAATATCATAAAATACACCAGCAGTACTTTTTAAATCTTCTAAAATATCATAAAATACACCAGCAGTACTTTTCAAAAGAAGTTTTTCATATCTGATTTTGAAAATTCGGCATTCATGATTGGATCTTATACATGTTTAACTGACACTTATTTAAATTAATTAATGTATATTAAAATATAGAGTTTTGATGATTTTAAAATTAAAAGAATACATGTCTTCGGGACTTATAATTAAAAGAATATATACTATGAGACTATCACTATTCTTGGTTTAAAAAACTCTTTATATACACCATGAAATAGCGTTTGATCAGCTAACGAACCCAAACCAATCATGATGACAGCCGCCATACTAACTACGATGGTGGAGGTGGCGATTCTGATATGCTTACTCCAACTCGCCACAGCCACCACAGCCGCAGCATCATCGTTGTCCTACCCATCTCATCAAATCCTTGCCGTCCAAGAAATCATAGATACCACAAAATTAGCTGCCCACGTACCCCAAACACAACTACTTGACCATGAAACAATAGAGTCCGGAGAGTCTCACGGCCGGAAGAGATGGAAGCTGAACCTTGTCCACCGCGACAAGCTGTCGGAGAATGATGAAGGTCACCGGCGGCGGACAGAAGCTCGGTTGAAGAGGGACGTGAAAAGGGTGGCAATTTTGAATAGTCGAATTGGTGGTAACCACACCAAAGGTGGTGTTGAAGGAGGGCGGTTCGAGGTGGAAGATTTTGGGTCGGAGGTGGTTTCCGGCATGCGACAAGGGAGCGGTGAGTATTTTGTGAGAATAGGTGTTGGAAGTCCACCGCGAAGTCAATACATGGTGGTTGACTCTGGTAGCGATGTTGTGTGGGTCCAATGCTTGCCATGCAAGCAATGCTACCAACAATCAGACCCGCTTTTTGACCCGGCCAACTCAGCTTCTTTTGTGGCTGTCTCTTGCGCCTCCTCTGTATGTCAACATGCAGAAACCGCCGTTGGTTGCCATGGTCATGGAGGTGGTCGGTGGTGCAAATATGAGGTTTCATACGGCGATGGATCTTACACGAAGGGAACTTTAGCCCTTGAAACACTAAGCTTTGGAAATACTTTCATCCGTAATGTTGCCATCGGATGTGGTCACAGAAACCAAGGTTTATTTGTTGGTGCAGCCGGATTACTTGGAATCGGTGGTGGCTCAATGTCACTAGTGAGTCAACTCGGTGGCGAAGCCGGTGGTGCATTTAGTTACTGTCTTGTTAGCCGAGGGGATGGTTCCCTCGGTTCGCTAGAATTCGGGAGAGAATCTCTACCGACAGACAGTGCAGTTTGGGTCCCACTGCTACGTAACCCGAGATTCCCTAGTTTTTATTACGTGGAACTCTCGGGTCTCGGAGTGGGAGGGGTTCAGGTTACAATACCTGAACCCATTTTCAAACTGAGCGACATGGGCCACGGAGGAGTCGTGATGGACACTGGAACAGCTGTCACACGACTTCCAACTGTGGCCTATGCAGCTTTCCGTGACACTTTTATAGCTCAAACTACAAACCTACCTCGTGCACGACCGGTTTCCATATTTGACACATGCTATGACCTAAACGGGTTTGTAACTGTTCGAGTCCCGACTGTGTCATTCTACTTTTCCGGGGGACCGGTTTTGACACTTCCGGCAAGCAACTTTCTAATTCCGGTGGACGATATGGGAACATTTTGTTTCGCCTTTGCTCCAACTTCATCGGGTCTTTCCATTATTGGAAATATTCAACAAGAAGGTATCCAAATTTCATTCGATTCTACAAATGGACTCATGGGATTTGGCCCCAATGTTTGCTAATCACTTGAAAACAATATTCTCCAGCAACGCGCATGTTATATATTTGGCTACAACCACCATGTAAACTAATTAGTACCTAGTTCATATATATCGTGATAGTTTTGTTTTCCTACTATGAATCATTATCATCTTTGGTGATTTCAATGATTAGTGTAATAGTGTATGTAATGTATAAAAACCCAGTTTTCGTGTATGATGGATTATGTAACGTAATCTGTTTGTGTTTATGTTTCTTAGATGTAACTCTATATAAGTCTTTATATACTGTATTCTACGAGTATTATAATCAAAAAACCCGAAAACAATAGTTGTGATTTTCTAAATTTATTCAAGAAGATTCATCCTGCAACTTCCTCAACTATCCCGGTTTCTGAGCAATACAGGCGGATATCAACAGCATTGTAAATAATGTCGCAAAGCCTAAATTCTTGTAGTGGTTTATTTATTTATTATAAATATAAAGTTGGCAATTCGTGTAATGGTATGTTCATGATGGTAGTTAGTTTATTTATAATCACATAAAATCTCTATTCTAATAAATAAATAAATTTATTCTCCTAATGACAAGTGTCACAATATTAGAAATCTTTATTAATGTCAACCTATTAATTATCCATTTTAAATTTTAAATTTCTCACTCTAATTACATTAAATTAATAATTAATTCATCATTTCAAATTTTAAATTTCATACTCTAATTATATTAAATTAATAACATTAGAATAAAAAATAAAATAAAATAAATATATATTATAAAGTGATATAATTTCATGTATTTATTTAAATCAACGATTATAATTTTATATAACTAAAAAATATCTCTTAATTAATAATTTATTTAAAATAATTGATTAATAATTTTAAGTTTTTACTATGAAATTTTAATTAATTTTATAACCGTGATTCTCACGGGTTATAAACTAGTTTATTATAAATATAAAATTGGCAATTCGTGTAATGGTATGTTCATGATGGGAGTTAGTTTATTTATAATCACATAAAAATAATATAATTCTATCAAATATAAATATATAAATCCGTATCCATTAATTTAGACTAATACAGAAATGGAACTATGGTTTGACGAAATTTACAGTTTTTGTCCATTTTGTAAATTTATTGCGTTGTGGTCACATCTTCTTCCCATTTTCGTCCCTTGCACCGAAAGCCTACAGATATAAATAACAACTCTCATGAAATCATTTTCCATCAGAATGTAAATATAAATAACAACTCTCATGAAATCATTTTCGTCCCTGAGTGGAATGATTGTCCATCTATCATTAGCAATCCATCGTATTTGCAAATTACAACTCCAACATCCAATCTTTTCATTTTATCCAATTTATACCCTACATTTACAAACAAACCAGTTTAGAACTTCTATTTTCCACATTTTCAAGTTTGTGATTGATCGAGATTCATTTCTACTTCTCAACAGATATATAATTAACAATGCCTGAATTGTCTTTTAACTCGTCATCGTCATTTATATAGACAACGGTCCAACCATCGCATATTTGTTGGTTAACCTAATTTAATTATCCAATATATGTAATTTTCTGACTACCAAATAATCTAACACATAATAGGATATACCCAAATAAAAATGCAAAGTTCAATTACTTTGAACCTATAGTCTCGTGAACTACAAAAAGATTCATGGGTGCTCCATATCCTATAGAAATCCCTACAAAGTTTGAATTTCCATGTTGTCATCCTAAACGACAGTGGACGGTGAGGAATTGGAATCATAAGACTCAAGGGAGTTGCTTGACATTGAGTATGGAAAAGGCGTGACAAAATTAGCATACACTGCCCCCTCATGGTGCAAGCCAAGTTGGTTGAGGTCAAATGTCATTCTAATGCAGAGAGAGAGAGAGAGAGAGAGAGAGATGAATTTTGTATACAAGATATACAACCACATAATGCAATGACATGTTTATTCTCCAAGTCATGCACAATGTTAACTCATCCCACCAAAATGGCATGTCATGCATGTTGTATGATAAAAATGATGTGCACACCAAAAAGTTGAGGTGGCATTGTGGCAAACTTGGCACAACTCCCTCAAGCCTAAGTGAGTGTGAACCACTAGAAAATCATCCCAGAAATTGGAATTGCTTGTTTTTGTCGATAGAGGCAGTTTGTATGTGCCAATGTCAGAAGCTGGCGTAGAGCTTCTGCTTTCTGTTGCAACCATGAAGATGGAGGTTTAATTTGGCTCACACACCTCAATTCTTGCTTCATTGTTACTCGAACGTTGGATAATGAGGAAAAACAAGTCATCATGGATGGTGATATGAAGTTATTGTTGTGTCGGTTCACCTACAAGTGAATCATGGAATCGCCTCTTTAACAAATCTTATAGAGCATATGTTAAGATCTATACAAATAATGATACAAGAATCTATGTACGTACCAATATTCTTGTAGGTCAATCATTATACAAATTTCGTTAACGTAAAGTTACGATTCTAACTTTGATTGAATCCATGTTTCTACCAAAATGTTTTCACATCTCCTATTTTCAGAAGTATGTTTAAGAAAAAAATAAGCATAAGATATCAACTAGTGGGGTTCAACCAGTGGTTGTTCGTACTTTGATCCGGTTATTTTACACTTTAGAGGTGATTTCCGATGGCAGGGTATGAGGCCATGTCCTGTGGAGTCGACGACTATATCAAGGGAATGATTGGGATGAAGGAATATGGATGAAGGTAAATTAGGGATGAAGTGACAATAACGACGTGTAGGTATGTTCTTATTTCATTTTGACTTTTTCTTTTAGTTTCTTTCAATTTTAAGTTTTAACTAGATTATAACCCGCGTAAAACGTGGGAGAACACACAAACAAATACATATTAATGGTATAAAAATGTGGCACACAAATTAAAAATATATATAAACCAACAGAAAACAGCTTTAGCATCATTGATAATAATGTAATGTGTAGAAAATACAATAAAATCGATAAATCTATATAATCGTTGAAGGACCTCTTTGTAGACAACATTTTTTGTTTTATTAGTTGAACGAACTTCATCGTCACATATGAATAACTTCAAGCCCTTTTTACTTGTGACGTGGGAAACGACATATAACTAACCATGAGTGGAGACGGGTCTACGCAAGTATAATACACCATTTGATAATGAATGTCCTTGACTTTTGTTAATAGTCATAGAAAAACAAAAACCTACGAGGATTTGCCTTCGCTGAAAACGGAATGAGATTATTTTATCAGACATAGTTAACTTCAAGCGAGGTATATAAATAGTCTCATTGAAGAATATACAATATATGATTCGGGTTTCAATGACGTGTCTTCCAAGCCTTACAATCTGTAATCTAGTACCAATGCATAGTCCTCTGGTTTGATCGATATTACAAAGTAACATGAATGGAACGCCTGTTTTTAGTGTAAGTTTATGGTTGGAATTCCAGATGAATTAAAACTATTCAACACATCTGGAGAGTAGACTGATTCCTTAAAAGAATCTTGTGACTCTGTCTCACATAAAGATTCTAATCTCATATATGTTTTCCACCACTAACTCTCTCTCTCTCTCTCTCTCTCACTCTCTCTCTTAAATTTGATATTTGTCATGATTAAATGAATAAGAATAAAAAAAGTAGGAATATATTTGATTTCTCAATCCAGAATGCTTATTTTATGATGATGCGACCTGGCTCCGAACCACTTGTCGTGAGAGGGATTCGTCGCTCCTTAAGCCTGAGAGGTCACACAAGGAAGAAACTCGTCAGCCGTTTTCCGGGAGGAGGTCCCGGAAAGACGCTCCGACGGTCAAGTTAGTATGCTGAGGGTTATAGTGGAAGTCTAAGACTGGAGAAGGAATGACTTGCCTTACCGGGACCAAGGTGAGGTCCTTTTATAATGGAGATCTTCCTCGGTCCGTACTAGGGACCGGTACTGCAGTCCCGACAGGATCCGTCACTCTTATTGGGGAGTCCTGCTCCACATTCGTGTTCAGCCCAGTGATTGGTCCAGGCGATTGTGCTATGTCTGGACGCTTTGTCGCCTGGAGCCGTTGTCTCTGGGCTGTGGCTAAAAGACAATATTCTGGCGAGGGCGAGCCTTCTGTGCGGTCGCCTCGCGGGAGTCCGGGGTCGCTGAGTCGGCTCCCCGTCGGAGGCGCTTTGTCGAGGCTCGCCTGCTCTAAGGGGCGCGTCATCAAGTCCCCCAGTCCAGTAGTCATAGCGTATGCTACCTAGCTATGATGTTTTGGACTTAACTATTGGTACACGTGTCGTTGTCTCACTCAGCTGTCGCTTCATTTCCGGTGATGTGACGTTTCGACGTGCGCGCGGCGGTTACGTCATGTGTCAGAGATTTTCGCAGACCTCGCCTTTTTTTTCCTTTTATTGCTCTTCCAACGGTTTCCTCTTTCATTTCTCCTTCTGCCTTTTCAGCCTCCTCTCTCTTTTTCTCTTCTCTTTCCGCCATGGCTATCGCTCAAGGTTCAACCCCTAGTTCTTCTGAGTTCGTCACACTTCAAGAGGCGTATGGTCTCACTCCGGCTGACGGGGTGGAATTTCCTGTCCCCGGCTCTTTGATTACTCGACCTCCTCCTGGGAAGGTGGGTGTTTACCTGAAGACTTTTGACGCTGGTCTTCGTATTCCATTGACCGACTTTCAGGAGGAGATACTTCGTCGTTGTGGGTGTAGCGTGCAGATGCTGACTCCCGGTGTTGTTCACAAGGTGGTAGCTTTCGAACTGACATGCCGTGCTAACAACATTATGCCTGATTATTTCGTCTTCAAGTACTTCTTTCGGTTTGCTGCCACCAATGACAAGTATACTTTCTCTGCCCGTCAGGGGGGGCATAATCTTGTTATTGACAATAAGTCTCCCAAGAATTGGTAAGACCGGTGGTTGTGGGTTAACCGGGAGTTGCTCGGCGGAGAGCATCCCTGGGCGACGATGCCTTCGGACACTATTCCCAATCTGTTTCCTCATACCTAGGCGACTGTAGAT